TTGGAATTTCACTGATTGTGCCATTAATGTCATTTATAGGTCTTGGATCCTATTCAAGATTACCCATTGCATTGTATTGTCTCTTTAGTGTCCTTGAATCTGGAACAATCGTTACTTTCATAGCCTTGACATTTTTGAAGAGTACAGGCCAGTTACTTGAATTTCTCTCAATTCGTGTTTGTCTGATGTTTCCTCCTGACTTATATATTTATACACAAGAAGTACTGCTGTGTTCTTCTCCATGTATTACATTAGGAGGCAACACAAGGTTGATTTGTCCCAATACTGTTTTTTATTTATATAAACCTTTTCCAGTTGATTAAGATGGTATCTCCCAAGTATTATAGCTGTAATGTTAATAAGTATGTTGCGCTTATTAATTAATAATGATATTAATGAGAATTAATGAGTATTTTGTGGGACATGCTTTGAGACTGTGTAAATATCCTGTTCCTCATCAAACTTTTACCCACCAACTTTAGCATCCATTGATGATTCTGGCCTGAATCGATTATGATGATGGTTGCAAAATGGTGATTTCCTAATTCTATCTTTCCTTCTTCAGCTATTAGTTGCATTTTACTATAAGTAGAACTTTCCTTTCTCCTTTTTTCTTTCTTTCTGTCAGCATGGACTCATTGATTCCTATTTTAATCAAAGAATTGCAACTTGTTGCTGTCATTATTTATTTTGATGCGTAAATTGCCCTGGATTTGGCCAGTGGGAACTCCTTCAAGCTGGCTCCTATATTCTTTTGACATATCTCCGTAATTCTTTAAGAATCTTCTCATTTTCTTGCACAACAAATTATTCCAGTTTCACCCATTACACCATGGACCCATAGTTGCTTTTGATGGAGAACGTTATTTAGACACCACAGTCTGAGTGTTAGGTGTGTTCATTGCTACTGGGGTGCTATTGCTTTTATGCTCTCTCAGTGGACAGAGCTAGGAAATATATCAACGTATACAAACAAATACATGTACACTTATATTTTTCTATTTATCTATCTAAATTAAAAAACATTTCATACCATCACCTCTAATTTCAAGCCACATTACTGGGTTTATTCTAGTTTTTCACTTTCCTATATCTGTAATTCCCTTTTTCAGCGGTGAGAAACCTGCCTCTCAATATCCTTAATATATTTACTTGTTTGCTCAGTTCCCCAGTATGTAAACCAATCTCTTGGCCATGCCAGCAAAAAATATGGCTTGTCTCTATTAAGTTAGTTATTTTTGTCATTTTATATATATATATAATATATATAATATATAAATTATATATATTTATAAAAATATTATCAAAAAATATATATTATGTGTATATGTGTAATCAAATATTTTATATAAAATCAAATATGAAATTAAATACTTTACGTATGTATATAAGAAATTATATATAACATATATTAGAAATCCCATATAATACATAAAATATATTAATATGTCAATATATATAAAAATATCTGATTTCATATATATGATTTTTTCCCAGCTTTACTGAGATATTATTGACATATAACATGAAATTTAAGGTGTCCTACATGAGGATTCAATATGCATAAATATATATTGCAAAATGTTTACCACAATGAGGTTAGTTAATACTTTCCATCTCTTCACATAATTACCTTTTTTTTTTTTTTTGTGGACAATATTCAAGCCTCACTCTCTTAACAACTTTCAAGTTATAATACAGTGTTGTTAACTATAGTCACCATGCTGTACATTAGCTCCGCAGAACTTTTGCATCTTATACTAGGTTTGTACCCTTTCACCAACATCACCTCATTTCCCCCATCCTCTGGCAACCACCATTCTACTCTCTATGTCTTTGAGTTTGGCTTTTTTAGATTCCACATGTAAGTGAGAACATACAATATTTGTCTTTCTCTGACTTATCTCACTTAGCATAATGCCCTCAAGGTCCAACCATGTTGTCACAAAAGGCAGAATTTCCTTCTTTTTTATGGCTAAATAATATTCCATTGTGTGTGTTTATAATATATATATATATATATATATAAATATATATAAATATATATATAATGTTTTCTTTATCTCGTCTTCTGTCAATGGACACAGGTTGTTTCCATGTCTTGGCTATTGTAAATAATGCTGCAATGAAAATGTGGGGGTGCATATATCTTTTCAAGTCATATGCATATATATTTTGCATATATATTTTCAAGTTATTTCATTTCCTTTGGATATATACCCAGAAGTGGAATTGCTGGATGATATGCTAGTTCTATTTTTAATTTTTTGAGGAAACTTCATGCTGTTTTTCATAGTGGCTGCACCAATTTACATTCCCACCAACAGTGCACAAAGGTTTCCTTTTCTCCACATCCTTGCCAACACTTGTTGTCTTTTGTCTTTTTGATACTAGTCAACCTAACAGGTGTGAGATGATATCTCATTGTGGTTTTGATTTGAATTTCCCTGATATTTAGTGATGTTGAGTATTTTTTCATGTACCTGTTAGCCATTTGGATGTCTTCTTTGGAAAAATATCTATTCAAGCCCTTTGCCCATTTTTTAATCTGATTTTTTTTTTTTTTGCTATTGAGTCATATAAGTTCTTTATATATTTTGGATATTAACTGCTTATCAGATAGATGGTTTGAAAATATTTTCTCCCATTTGTAGGTTGCCTTTTCATTTTGTTGACTGTTTCTTTGCTGTGCAGAAACTTTTTTGTTTGATGGAGTTTAACTCGTTTATTTTTGTTTTTGTGGCTTGAACTTTTGGTGTCATATCCAAAAAATCATTGTGAAGACCAATGTCAAGGAGATTTTCCCTATGTTTTCTTCTAGTAGTTTTATAGTTTTGGGTCTTAAATTTAAGTCTTTAATCCATTTGGAATTAATTTTTGTGAGTGATGTAAGGTAGGGGTCCAATTTCATTCTTTTGCATGTAAATATCCAGTTTTCCTAACACCATTTATTAAAGAGACTATCCTTTCCCCATTGAGTATTCTTGGCTCCCTTGTCAAATATTAGCTGATCATATGTGCTTGGGTTTATTTCTGGGCTCTTGATTCTGTTCCATTGGTCTATGTGTCTGTTTTGATTACTATAGCTTTCTAATATAATTTGAAATAAGGTTGGGTGACGCCTCCAGCTCTGTTCTTCTTGCTCTAGACTGCTTTGGCTATTTGGGGTCTTTTGTGGTTTCATATAAATTTTAGGTTTTTTTTCCTATTTCTGTGAAAAATGCTGTTGGAATTTTGAAAGAGATTGCATTAAATCTATAGATGGCTTTGGGTAGTATAGACATTTTAACAATATTAATTCTTACAATCCATGAACATGGGATATCTTTCATTTGTGTCGTTTTAAATTTCTTTCATCAACATCTTGTAATTATCTGTGTACAGATCTTTCACCTCCTGGGGTAAATTTATTCCAAGTATTTTATTATTTTTGATGCTATTGTATTAAGAGGAGCACACAATAAGGCCTTTCTTCAGATGCACCTGGAGCCCATTGTTCATACTTCCACATGGTTGTTCCCTCATGCCTGACTCGCAAGAAGCGGCTGGTCTCAGAAATGCAAAGCTCCCCAAAGAGGAAGAGCTCCATCATCACCATCCATCTCTCAGTAAGCAGCCTATTCTCTAAATGTTACAAACAGCCAGTGCCAAACTCCACAACCACTCTTAAGCCAAATGCTAAACCTGGGGAAGGAAGGATTTTATATTTCAATTGGATTTATATAAATTGGAATTATATAAAAGGATTTTATATAATTCAATATATTTCTATTGAAATTATATTTTACTTACTAGGTTGGGTGCAGTTTCTTTAGGTTGCACGTTTCCCTCCAGGTTTTGGTGACACCTCTTTCATGGACTTAGCCCACAGTAATACACATATCTGCTTGTGTGCTGCCTCCTCAGGCTGGGAAGCCTGAGGGCTGGGAATGTTCTTTCACCCATTGCCAGTGCTTAGCAGAGGGTCTAACATAGGGCAGGTGCTAATTATTGTTTACTGGATGAAAGAGTGAATACATCCATTAATCAATATAGAATAGTGGGAAAGGAGATGTATGTTGGTGAGGAGACCTTAAATTTCAAATTCTGGACCCACATGGACGAAGAGAGTCCAGGCCATCCATCCTTAAAGGCATTTAGGTATTTTATTTGAAGTTTTTTTTTTTTTTCTTTCTGGTGACATGATACAATTCAAGGATAAAACTCGAATTTATTCTTGATATTGATAACATTGACATTGCACATCAATCCCATGGTTACCATCCAGCACCAATAATCTTGTTCAGTTTCCACCTGCAGCTTCCTGAATCTTTAAACCTCAAACTTCAAAGCTCCCACGTTAAAGAATGTCGTCAGTTCAAGTTACCCTTTCTCATTTTGTCTTCAACTTTTTTCTTCTTTGCCCAAGAATATTTGCAGAGTTAACTTTTCTTGAAAGTTCTTTTGCAGTGTTCCAGATAAGAATAGTTATACTCCAAATACAGCATGTAGTGTAAACGTTGAATCAATAAAAACGACAAGGATAGTAACAATATCCCTGATGATCGCGGTGGCCCATTTTAATTTCGAGGGCGCCAGCTACACGCCAGCAAGAGAGATTAAAAAGCTTCGGGGCAAACCACTCCGGACCAGGAATCCCTAAGACAACCCTGACGCCACTAAAGTTTCCAGACGCGGCCAGCTCTCGGAATCGGCGGAAGGAGCCTGCACATCGCTGAGCCAGTCTGCTGGATTTCTCCGCGGCAGCGAAAGTGCCAGGAATTTCTAGGTTTTCCCTGCTTCGGGCAAAGCACCGTCTGCACTTTCCGCGGCGCTGGGAGCAGGTGAGGCGGCCGGCGGCGCGCTGGGACGCGCTCAGGTGCCTCGGCCCCGCCCCGCGCGCTCGGGTCGGAGCGCAGGTGCCGGCGGCCAGGTGCGCGTGGCGCGGGCTGCAGCTCCCCCCGACGCCCGACAGCGGGCGCCGCTGCAGCAGCTCGAGAGCGGCGGAGCTGAGCGGCTTCGCGAGTTGGGGCAGCCCCTGCGCTCGGCCCTGCTCGGCGGCGAGAGCTCCGCCGGGGCGCCGGGTTCCCACTGACGCGGGGGCGGCCGGGCGCCGAGGGGACTGACCCACTTCCGCGGACCCCGCCGGCCTGGGGCCGGGAGAGGCGGGAGCGCCGGGCAGCGCAGAGAGCGGGCCGACCCCGAGCGCACTGGAGGCACCCGAGCGCCCCGCGCCCTGGCACCATGCGACCCGCCGCGCCTCCTTGCCGGTCCCGGGCGTCGCTCTCCGCTCGCTGAGCCCCCGCGCTCGCCACCACGGAAACTCGGAAAGACGAGGCGAGACGTTGGGAGCAGCGCGGAGACGGACCCAGACGTCCCCTCGGCCCCCAAGAGGCTGCGGGTCCCTCGTTCCCTGGGCTTCTCTATCTTGACCATGAACCTGGCGCAAGCTTGGCTTTAGGAGAAATTCGGAAGCCGGAGGGGAAGTCACGGCAATTTTTTGGTTGCTAAGGTAATTGTGGTTGTGACAAAAATGGGCAAGAAACAAATAGGGGAAAAGATGTTTTAAAACGGTGTGCACCCCCCCTCCCCAATTCATATGTGTGGATTTCATTTCATCTCCTGTGTGTGGATGCTTGTCCATTTCAGATGCGTGACAGGTGCCGGGGTGTGTGTGCGTGCCTGTGCAGTTTGGGACTGTATAGGCACGAGCTTACATAAGTGGCTAGGCAAGCTGGTGTGTGGACTTGTGTGGGATGGGTGCAGGTCTGCATGGAATCATGTTCCTGGGTTTCTGGGTGTGCAGCGCTCACCGACTGGGACGAGCGTGCAGAGGGTACGTGCTTTTAGGTACTTCCAGTCTTGCGATTTTGTGATCGCAGGTAGGGCAGCTTTACCTCAAAAGCAGACGTTCATTAACTTTTTCTCTGAATAAGCTCATTTGTGGTTTGGAAGAAAAGCAAGCGAGTGGGGAGGAGTGGAGGGCAGGGTGGGTGCTGAGGGCTGTTGCTGGGAACTGCGGCAGGGAAGGGAGCTGTGGGTATTCGCTCTGAGAGGATGACAACTGACTGGTCGCGTGAAGAGACCATGTTTACAGTCACTGTCGCGCTGCGTAAAAAGTGGCCCAGTGAGACAGGGAAAGTGACCCAGAAAATTTAATTTTGTTCAGAATGAAAGCTGCTGTATTTTATTTTGTTTTTTAAATTTGATGGAGTAGGAGCGTTGTTTCTTTCTCTCTTGTTGAGAGGATTGGCATGTCCATGCTACAAATTGAAGATATTTTGGGTCTTTTCGTTGGCTTGGAATTGTTTCCTCAGCATTTATCAGTGCTTAGGAGCTGGACCTGCAGGTAGTTTCTAATCAATGCCTTTTAGAAGCCCCAAAGTAAAACTGCAAAAATAAGCAGTATTAGGTGAAACCTAACATTGGACCCTTTTCTCAGCAGAGGGGGATGAGAGATGGAAGAATAAGAACAGAGCTTGTAAGTGTCTGCATGGAGTTAGAGACTGAGACACAAGTCTGTGTGTTCTATCAAAAAGTGTTGGACTGAAGGAAACTGTTAGGTTTAGCTTAATATGTTAACAACAAGGCTTTTATAGATCAGTTTTCGAAGGCAGGTGGATATTTATATGGAGTGGGCACTGGGGGGTTGGTGGGAAACTTTCTGAGTTGTATATTCATTCTTTCTTTTTTTTTGGTGAGGAAGATTGGCCCTGAGCTAACATCTGTTGCCAATCTTCCTCTTTTTGCTGAGGAAGATTAACCCTGAGCTAACATCTGTGCCCATCTTCCTCTATTTTGTATATGGGATGGCGCTACAACATGGCTTAATGAGCAGTGCATAGGTCCGTGTCTGGGATTTGAACCTGTGAACCCTGGGCCACCGAAGTGGAGCATGTAAGCATAACCACTACGCCACTGGGCCGGCCCCTGTATATTCTTTATTCTTATTCTTCTTATTAATTTATTAATTTTGCAATGGGTGGGACTGCCCTGTGAAAGAAAGTACGTTGAGTACTGAGGGAAATTTGAGACTCTTCTGAGATACACCTTTGTAAGTGAAGGCTGGTGTGCTGAACAGCGAAAACCAAGATGATAAATAAACATGGTGATCTTATGTACTATAAACACAGTTGGAGTATACCATATATATATATATATATTTCCCCCCAATAACCCATCCTTTCCTGAAAGTGTAAATTCTAGAAATGTCAGCTGTTGTGAGGTATTTTGATGAAGTAGGTAGCCACTGGTGTCTCCTTTTCCATATTCATTACATTGGTTTTTAATTTTACTTTCCTGTCTCCTTTAAGAAACTTTAATTAATGTTCACTGAATTTATATTGCTGAGGTTTCAGTAAAACAATGCTAGTTTTTCTTCAAGCGACAAATTTGTCTGACGCAGTGAAACATTACAACCATGCTTTTGTGGCAGAAATGTCTCTCTAAATGACAGTCCTTATTTATTTATTTATGATTTTGAATAAGATAGCCAACATAGATATTTTTTAAATGAACAAACATTTCTTGAGAAAGAAAAAAATTTTTTTAAGGCTATTTAAGACAATGAAATTTGCCAGTAATTTTGGATGTCTTATTTTCCACAGGGACAAAATTTTATGTGAATGTAGGATCATTCTGTTTCTTATTTCTCTGATATTCTCCCATGCATTTTATCCCCTGAACTCCTAAGACTTTGCCAGGAATTGCTGAGCATTGTGTTTTATTCCAGGGGTTAAATATCAAGGGAGATATGGGTAAGGAGCTATGTGTCACATCAACGTTTTTCAAAAGGATGCTTTCAGAGATCTCTATACTGGGATTAATTTTTCCTTTAGCTGCCCAGTTAGCTTGTCTTAATTCATAGTGCTTTGAACCTAGGAAAGCATTTAACCTCTTTGTATTCAGTGCCAGCTGGAAGGAATATATTTACTGAATTTCATTCTCATTGGAACATATGGCCTGATATAAATAATTACTACACACACCCTATCCTGCTGTATGGAGAGAAATAGAATTACAAAATAAACCTTCATGTTGAGTGATATGGATGTAATGCTTCAAAAAAAGTTTTACTTTTTTCTGGATTACGAAAGTAATATATAACCATCAGGGAAAATTCAGGAAAATACAAAGAAAAAAAGATCATTTGTAATTCTTCCATGGAAGGTGAGCCACAGTTGATATTTCTGCACACTGTATATTCTTCCAGATTTTATTCTGATCACATTATTCATTGTGTTTTTATCCTTCTCGCCTCCCCCCCAAATTTTCAAATCTTGTAAATGGAACTTGGATATGTTAAAGGTTTGGGAGATTACTGCTAGTTTACTGGATGGTTTTGATAGATCAGATTTAAATTTTTGTTAGTGGTCCTTATTTTCCACGAGAGTACTTTCTCTTGTTTTTTTGTTTTCTTTGAAAACCAAGGTTTTTCACTTTGGGTCAGTAATCCTTGGGGCTTCCCATAAGGTTTAGGGATTAAAGCATCAGAAAAGAAATAGAACGTTGACCGTGTGGGGGTGGGGTGGTGGGAGGGAAGACCTGAGTTCTGGTTTCCATTCCCCCACCAATTCCTCTGGGCCTCTGTTTCCTTGAAGGACAAATGACACCTTTAGATTTAGCTCAATAAGCTAACAACATATTTGTTGTTTTGACATTTGATGAGGATGATCTTTGTTTGAAGTGGGCTTTTTCAAACACAGAAGGCTGGGGGTCACTCCCAGAGTTTCTGACTCAGTTGGTCTGGAGAGGGGCCCGAGAAGTTGCTTTTCTAATGAGTCCACAGATAATGCTGACTCGGCTGGTCTGCAGCCCACACTGAGGAGTAGATGGTGAGCTCCTTGGGGGCAGAAACCCGGTTTCACTGTTCTTTGCATCTGTCTGCCCAGTGCCCAGCAACGTGCCTGCCAGTAGGTGCTCCGTAAGCCTTGGTTGAATCAGTGTCGGTTTTCTCCATGGGGGAAAAACTTTCTGAAGTATTCAAGATAAAAGAGATATTCATCCAGATTTTGGAAGCATTAAGTTTGTAATAAAAGTAATAATCAGTCATGAAACCCAGTTCTTCAAACTGCAAGGAAAGCAAAAATGCTTACAAGTTGGCAGTTAAAATGAACATTAAACCTAATGAGTTACATTAAATAACAACTCAGAGTACCTGCTTGAGATGCTACAAACCACGAAGCTTATCAGATGTTTCCCTGTTGCCTCCCTGAGACCTATAAGAGGCAATTAATTTTCTACCACATACACATTCCAAAAAGGGGGCGAGGGGGAATTCACTATTAATTATCCCAACTACAAAGCAGTAGGTAAAGCAAGCAATGGCCCAGACTCCTCCCACCCCACCGAAAAGGCAGAACAATGCTCATTAGAATACCATGAGTGTTCTGTGAGATAGGCCGCCATTTTATGACTGAGGAACCTAGGAGAAGAGTGCACGGAGTGAATGCATGTGACAGTGAGGAGATTCCAGTGGCTGAAGTATCCCACATAGAATGTCTGGTCATCCTTGTGTGGCTACTTTGTGACTGGAAAATTAATCCTTTCCTTCTACTTAGGTGTTAGAAATGTAGGGTACAGAGAACACCCATTTTTGGGTATGGAAACAAAAAAATGTGTAAATATTTGAGTACCAACAAAGAGGATGCTTATGTAACTGATGCTATTCAAATGAGTTGTGGTAGAGGCTGGCTGTCTTGGCTTTTCTGAATATTTAGGTAAAACCATCAAAGGAAAAAGCTACCTTTAAGTTTTCACGTGGTCCAGTTCTCTTATTCCTGAGTTTCTGCCCTCCCCAGGGCAGGGGAAAGCACATGTTTAGCAAAGGCTTCTGAGATCAGAGTGGCCTGCATGGATGTGGGCGCCCCTCTGAAGTACCCTGGCACCTGTGTTGCACTCACTGAGACCTGGCCAGCCCTGAGCCCAGAGAGATAACTGTGATTGGTCACTCTTAAAGTAGCACAACAGGCATTTTAAACCCTGTTAATTGTGTTTCTGAACCTCAATTTCCTCATCTGTAAAATGGGGATAAAAAGTATTCCCCTTGAGTATGTGTGGCTATGAGGAGAAAATAGGATCCTGGTTAGCATAGTGGGCAGAGGAGGCACAGTAACTCGAGAAGATGGACCCAGTCACACCACACTTTCTATTTTCTAATAATATTGACAGTGAGTTGTTGGGTCACAACCTCGGTATTTCCCCGGGTGAAATCTGAAACCAGCACCCATACATGGAGGGCAAGGAGAGACTGAAGAAAGAGGCAGACTGCTCCAGATTGGTAAGTGGTGGTTTTAATAAGCGAGGGAACTTACATACTAGGCTTATCTTGGGTGACTGCAAGATGAGTAGATCAGCACACCCACCCACCAGAATCTTGAGTTTATATAGAGGCCTTCACTGGGTTCAGTCTGTATTCAGTCCAGTTGGTCTCAACAACACCTTACTCTGTCAAGGCTGCGTTCTTGAAAACGGCTCCCACTGTGGGAACAGTGGGCAGAACATACATTTCAA